AAATAATTCTGCACTTGAATTTTATTTTTGAACAAAAATATTTAGCGCAAAGACTGATATTTCCTATTATAAGAATGCAAAATTTACTTCCTTGTTCTGTGAAGAACATCTAAATATTATGCATAATTATTTTAAAAGTTTTAATGTTGTACTATCATTTTTTTAATTTGAGAAAAAAAAAATATATATTGAGAATAAATGTATATTTTAGAATATATATACACTTACTACTCACTTATCAACTATCTCATTAGACATTTCATATTTACAACAATAATAAAAAATCTACTATCAGACTCTTTTTCACATTAATGGTGCAAGTCTAGCAGTAATGAATGACGAGGATTCTGATAGGGTTCCTGACCAGAGAACCCTATGTACATGTGGAAATAAAGTTAATATTTCATAGCTTTGCTGTCTAGGAGGGAACAGGGCATGGTTTCTCCAAGCCACTTGGATGCTGGCCAGAGTGGAGGGGAAGCTGGCATGGGGCAGGATGCTGCCCACTTGGTCCTGGGTGCTCCCAGGGGACTAGGGCTGGGGCAGCAGTAGCTCATCTCTTGAAGGTGGGTTGCCTTGTGATGTGCAAGAAATGGGACCTTGCTATCTAGTCCATGCTGCTTGTCTCATGAGGTAGCAAGTAAGAACCAGCCACAGTCAAAAGGTGCCCTGAGATGTGGACTTTAGGTGCCAGGGCTGCAGGATCCCTCATCAACTGATTAGAATCTGGGCAACCACGTGCCTTCCTCCATGCCCCGTCCTGGGCAGGCACATACGGGAACAGGGAAGGCTACCCAGGTGGGGTGCAGTGAGTGGGTGAGTGGCTAGTTAGAGCTGCAGTTTACATCAAAGTCAGAGGCCATGGCTGGCCTTCATGGCCTTGAAGGAAGCTCTGCATTGTTGAGTCCCATGGGGATATGAAGACAGAGGAAAGTGAGAGCTGGGGAATGCTCAGTCAAGAGGTTAACAGGAGAACCCAGTGGGCACTTTGCACCCCTCTTGTAGTACGCAGCCCCTCTTGCCCATAGACGGAGAGCCTCCTGCCACCAAAAAGTCACAAGGGGCAGTTGGAAGTCTTTGAGAGGATGTGCTGGTGCCACTTATCCTGAAAATTTGGTGAGGGCAGGAGAGGACGAGACCCCAGAGTTGGAGAGGAAGGTGGTGCCTGGGCTATGCTGGCTTTGAAGACTGAGTGATGCTCCCCTACAAGCTGTTCTGAGGCCACATGTGGGAGGGGGAAGCAGTGATGATAGACGACTTCAGCATAGCTTCAGTGTCAGTGGGATGTTCATAATCCAGGTGAGAGGGCGAGGTGATGTAATCATCCTCCGTTATATACCAATTTCACATAATGACCTGGTCTTTGGAAATGAGCCATGTCAATAAGTGAGGATGGGGTGTACATTTCAGAATAAAATATTTGCACATACAATATACATTGTTGTTGTTGTTGTTATGTGCCATCGAGTCGGCCTCGACTCATAGCGACCCCTCCTTGGGTTTCCGAGGCAGTATCACTA